TTTTTCCCAGTGAGATTGTTTGAATATGTCCTCTACAGGTTTCCTCCCAGGACTGGAGAAATATGTTTGTTACACAGAAATTTTCAATGTACAACCAGATTCTAATTTATTTTCTCCAGCTCCTCCCAACTTTGTCTTGGTCAGAAAAAAAAGAAAGAAACACTGCTCCTGCAGAGAGGGCTTACTCTGTACAGTATACAGTATGAGCCATTCTCGGCTGAACAATGCGCCCCCATTATTACATGTGACAACGGGGTGAGAAAAATGAAAGAAAGCAGCTTCGCAGGCAATGTGCTCAGTAGACGAACCAACAGGAAAGGAAAAGAGGGAAATGAATGCAACGCTCCACACTGGAGAATTAACCGTGAATCTCGGGCTCCCGAAAGTGGGGTGAAGGTCAGGCCGACCAACACGGGTCCCGCTTGGCGGTGTAGCTAGCACATGTCATAGTTTTCCAGCCCAAGGAGGAATCACTTCTGTCCAGGAAACAGCAGCGAATTCCGTCTATTCAGTGCAACTTTCAACAGATTCCAGTGCATCTTGTTACAACACTTATTTTATTCCAATACAATGAAGCTTTTTCTCTAGTACCAGTAGAAATGCTGTACAGTAAATATTGTACTAAAACCCAATTCCAGTACGGTAGCATCTTGTTTGATCAAATAATTCATTACATTTAAGTCATTTCTAGGACTCACAAAAAAAAATAATAAAAAAATGTTTTTGAAGTCCTGACAGAAAGCCCTTAGAGAAATCATTAAAGCCATCCTGTCATAACAAATCTTCCCAATTCTGGTACAGTGGAATCTTGTTGCAACAATATCTCAGCATAACAAATGATAATTCACAATCAAGTTATTTCTTAGGAATCTGCACAATAGCCACAATGTTGGAAGATGTGGTTCCCAACTCAGCTATTCTACTGGTCCTAAAAGCTGCATTAAAACAAGATTTCATAGCATAAGAAACTTTTTAAAGGAATGTTCATTAGATCCTCCAGTTGGAAATTTCCTGACTAATGCATGTGGCACAGCCTGCAATTTTGGATCCTACATGTGACCAACTGGTTCTTCTTGCAGCATGAATGAAAGCATCAATAAACAACAAAACATGCTTCCCAAATGGTTCCACACATCTTTCTCCGAAAATTGTGAGATTGCTTAAACTCAGCATGATTGAAGCTTCTTTTTATTTTCAAGAAGATCACTCTGTTCTGCCAGAAAATCAACATGTAACTGATTACCGGCAAGTGTGATGTCAAAATGTTTTCCAGTCATCAATTCTGAAAATCCCACAACAACAAATTCTTCAGTGAAAAAAGAAAACTTGTCTTGAATTCCTTGAAAGTTTGTGGTAATGATATTATAATGCACTAGAAAACAAGTAGAAAACAAAACGAAAAATGTACAAGACTTATGCCACAATTGTTCGACCAAGTTGGGGGAAATGTCCACAGTAGAACCCCATTTTCACCCCGAGAATTCCAGCACTCGCTTTTCACGAGACATTAACAACGAGATCTGCATCTATTGTGTGTGGGCTATCGACTAGGGCAACCTAGGCGACAGATACCAAAAGACCCGGGCATCTGGAGTACACCTGCCTATCAACAAATCTGGAATAAATACAAAACCGAGCGCCACAAAGGACATTCCCGGCGTATTGAAAAAGAAAAGGCGCGTTCACACACACACATTCTCACAGCATAAAAAACATTCAACATCCCAACATCTTTTCATCCCAATATGACCAGTGAGATGCTCGGAAGCCCGTTGCGCCGAGGATCGCGGCGACAAACCATCTCTCGCATTAGTCGTCCAGTCCCGTCCGACACCAGCGGGCAACACTTGAACACGCATCCAGGCAGGAACAAAGAAGAGCGTCAGAAACCCCAGGAATTCTCTCGGTTGTCGGGAGCCCCCTTCACGAGCCTAAGCATTGTATTTCTCGATTCGTTTTCGCTTTTACAGTAATGCACACAGTGTACAGTATTCCCCAGCCCAAGGAGGAAAGGGAGGCGTCCTGTTGAAAAATTCCGTCAACGCGCACGCGATTCACCCAGCAAAAGCAGTTGGCTGTTCCCTCACAGTGGCTGCAATCCGACACCACCCGCGTGAAGAACCCACACCACCGAATATTGCCAACCGAAAAAGGAGAGAAAAAAAGGTTGGAATTTTTTGCCTCCAGATAAAAAGAACTCTAATCCCGACGGGCTTTTCATGCGTTACACACACATACACCAACGACATAACTCGAGAAACAAAATAAAAACATCCGGTGTTGTAAACTTGTAACTGTCGTGAGCGCCTACGGTACTTCATTCGTCCTCCTAAACATTAAATACTGTACTGTACTGTACACCAACACAGTACTAGCAGGGACCGTTCTCGTCGTGCTCATATAACTCGATTAGGTACAATGGGACTCCGACATACGGACAAATATTCGACTCAGGGACACTTGAAACTTGAACAAAATATCTGACAATGCCTTGAGATACACAAAATTTTCCCCAGAATTCGACAATAATATTTTTCTCAATTATTGATATTGGCTGACCACATTGAGCAGTGTAAACTCACAGAAATTGTAGAAAAAATTGCATTATAAAATTACTCCAATGCATAGTTGAAGACAGACTAATTTTGCATTTATTTTTTCAAGTTTCTTTTTTTTCCCATCATGTGTGCAAACTGCGCGGTATAGCTTGACTTGTCCTGGTTCTTTGCTCAGTGAGCTCCTTCTGAAGTCAAACCAGCGAACCACTCTGTGTGGCTTCTACTTGCACAGGTACAGTACAGTATTTCCTGCTTTAGGTGGAGGGAAAAAGATTGGTCAATTTTGGGAGGGGGGGCGATTAATGATAAACTGGAGACCTGTACCAATTAAAAACGTTTCCATTGTAGGCTATGGAAAAATTTGCTCCGACATGAAAGCACCCTCTAATCTAGGAACACAACAAGGTCTACCCATCAATGACTTCCGCATCTGGATCCCACGCCGTTCTTCATACGGGATGATGCAAGCAACTCAATTTCGACTTCAAACCATTAAAGAAAAATAACATAGCCAGAAAAACGTGGAAAATCAAGCAAATTGGGAATATTGCGCGGTCTGCCCGACTTCACCTGAAATTTCAGATCCCAAAAAATAAAAACTGGCTCTTGTCCAGGACCACAGAGGGGACATGGAACCCGCGCAGTGATGGCAACCTTCTCGCGTTTTCAAGCTTCCACGTGTCACTTGGCCCTTTTTCCCGCGCGCCGCGTTTCGTAACAGAGGAACATTTCCGTGAGGAATTGGGTTCGGAAATCCTTTACTGTGCTGTACACCCCTCAAGGGGCTTTAGAAAATTCAGTGAAATAAGAGGGAACCGCTCGCCCTGCTTCCCCTCTAGGGTCACCCGAGATCTTTCATTCTTCACCTGATGGGGGACATGTTCACCCGCTCTGAGTGTGTTAAATAGAGTGAGTGAATACAGTAGGGGTTCCGAGATGCGGACATAATTGTGTGTCGGGGCATCCATAAGTCACATAAAGTTTCCCCATATACTTCAATGGGGACATACAGTATTTCCCTGGTTCTCTTGAAGTCTTGATCATCAAAAAATAAATAAATCAGGAATGAAGTCCCAATAAAATCAAATTACAGTTTTCCTCAACTTAAATTCACAGAAAATAACTGCGCAGAAATCGAAATCTTATCTTTTCGCATCAGAAGGAGCTCAGAAAGAAAAGAACAAGTCGAGCTATACTATGTACACATGATGGAAAAAACTCTGAGAAAAAAAAACACAGAATTAGCGCGATTTTGATCATGAATCAAGAGTAATTTTATTTTTAATTTTTGTGAAGAGAAATAGCACAATTTGTTTGAGGTGTAAAATTTCGAAAAGTTAAATGCTGGAAAAATGTTCATATGTTATCATTGAGGATGTTGGACCAGATTTTTTTCGTGTGCCTCAAGTGCCCCAAGCTGAATCGTATCGTTCATAAGCAACATAATCCAACCAATCTAAATGAAACTTGAAAAAAAAAAATATATCCTCATTCCTCAGCTCCCAAGAGGTCGTTTCCTGAACAGACACAACCCAAGTCCGCTTTTGCTCTCCCTCCTCCTCAAACTCATCCACAGCGCATTTCCCCACTGACTTTTTTCCCTCCATGAAAAATGCACGAGTGAGCCCGGGTTTCGCTGACACCCGGCAGCAAAAGCCAGCATGTACCCCTGCAAAGATAAAATGAAAACCGATGCGTTGGCAGCGAAGGGGGGGGAGTCGGAAGGGCGGCAGCAGCAGTCGACCTCAAACGGCCTCGATCTGCCTCTTTTTTTCTTCCTTCTTTTCCCCCACATGCGAGGGTGAATGAGTTCCTTCAACATGAAGAAGACCAACTGGAAGGTAATAAAATCCCTCGTCGTCAAAGCAGCGGAAACCCATGTTTGTCCCGAAACCCCCCCCCCCCCGAGGGTGGAATTCAATTGACCATTGCAAAGCTTCAACCCCGGCTCCAATTCAACACAGCATGGCATAAAGAAAATTCGAAAACGGTCGAGGAGAATTCCATGGGCAGTTTCGAGTTCTTTCCTCTGCCTTCAGATAAATCTTGTTTAATACACGTGGACTCCCTCTAAAACGTAACTTGAGGACCAGAAAAACAATTATTTGCTGAGAGAAATTCGTCCTAGAGAGTCAGTGTAACATGGAGAGGAAATCTATTGGACCAAATGAAAATCCGTTGCACCGAGATATTCGTTGCAGACAAGGTCATTGTAGACAGAGTCCACCTGTAACTGAATTTTCCAAGTTCGTTTCTTCCGAACCATCACGGGACCGATGAAAATTCTGAAGAAAGCCCATGTTTCGATTCTTCAGGTCGAATTCTTTTCACAGAACCATTGAGATTCAGTATAGGTCGTCTACATCCGGAAAACGTCTCAGTTCGAAGCCCAGTTGCCGAATTTTGGGCATAGTAAGGAAAAATCTCAATTGCATAAAAAAATTACGCATTGAGATAAGGTACAGCATCAGGCGAAAACCGACACTTTCCTTCCGTCTCCGTCGTAACTGTCCTGAAGACAAGATCAATACTTTAAGAAATTGGTTGAGGGAAATAAATTATAGACAAGAAACTCAGGAGTTTACATGGAAAAATTCGTCAGGAAGAAACAAAAGCTTATTCTGGCTTAATTAGGGAGATGAGTACAAATTCGCGCTGCGGGTGAGCGTTCATTAGCATATTAAAAGAAAGATAAATAAAAAAGCAGGAGGCACAGCGAAATCTCGTCACAACAATCTTCCGGGGACTTCAGGAAAAATTTGTTAAACTAAATGTAAAACATTTCAGCATGTAAAACCCGTCTCATTTGGGACCATAAATTTCCGACTGTCTCTGCTCAAGACAGAAGGAAATTTCTGCTTTACATGGAGAATCTACAGTACATTTAAAGTTCCTCGGAAAAGCTCGTCATCATACTGGATCTGAATTGTGAAGTTCAAGATTATTTCACCATGCACTCTACAGGCTTTCTCATTATTGTTGGGACTTGAGAAAATGTTCTTCACACTGAAAATGTTGTTGTAACGAGATTTTTCCCTGCATACTATTGTGCGTTGACTGACCTTGCCGACCGACGATTTCAGCCACGTGCTCCGAGCTGGGCACCGGCACACACTCGGTCATGTTCTGGCTCTTCTTGGGTCGCGGCTCCTCCGGAACGATGAGTGCCGTTAGACCAGCCGACGGGTCCTCGACCGGCGACGCGGGTTCCGGATTCGCAACCATCGTCAGTCTCGACAGTTCCAACGCAATTTCCAGCGTCCTAGTGTTCGTTTCCTCCATCGGCGCTTTCTGGATCCCCATGTCCGAAAACAGGCTCGCCGGCATCACGGGTCCCTCCAACATCCGTGCAGCGGGCCGGAAACGGCGTCTCCTCCAGCAATCGATTCACGGAACGGAACACAATACACAGGCAGCACTCACACGCACTCTCACTGATGCCCTTACTATATGCCCAAAGTATGCCCTCCGATTACGAATGTGATATCTATACGCACGCCGTCTGGCCACCCCTCTTCCTATAGCTGCTTCCGGCCTACCAACTGATGTTGGAGGGAGTCAGGCCAAATTTGCAAACATAACCTATACATACAAAGCGGAAAAACCACCAAAGCATGAAGAAGCGTGTCTGAACTCGCATCGCCTCCGCCTCCCCTCTTCATCTTCAAAAGTTTATTCCCTACACTCGATTCCCGCGCTCATTGGTCTTCAAAAAGAAAAAAAAGCTCCACGACAAATGATCTGACTCAACACTCTCACTTGTTAACGAAGACCGGAGCCTTGCGGACCTCATCCGCACAATACCCTGATTCATGATCTACCAATTACTGATCAACACTCAGTAGCGCGTGGCATCACCACTGAAGCTTGGCATAGAAATTATTTACTCTGGGAAAGATAGGAAAAATATTTTGTTTTCTTCTTTACGTTGTCGAAATTAACTACACGGGCTTAGGAAAACTAGTGTTGGTGATATTCTCGCAGAGCATAAGGATTTCGCTCTACTGAAAGACTCGTTCCACTCCCGACGTTTCCCAAGTCGTCGTACGATCTCAAGGAGACCAGCGAACAAAGGAAGCACCACGCGCACTCCTCCGGTGACAGATGCTATCCTCACGCTGCCCGGAATCGTTCTGCCTATTCCCCGGGCTGGGCACGCCAGTAACCGACCGCTGCTCCGCCACCCACCCCAGCAGGGAACCGTTTCCCTCTCTGTGCCTCATGGTGTCTGGACAACCCATGGCGTGCGCCTCACTGGAGGGAGGACTCAACCTTTGTGCTGTACTGTACTGTGCATACAGCGAGAATTGCCTCTATATTGCAGGGCAGGGAGGATGATATGGATGCGCTGGCTGAACAGGCAGTGTTAACAACTTATCAGGGGATTGAACATACAGGGAGAGAGTTCTTCTGCCTTAAACAAAAAGTACTGTATGTCACAAAGAAATCCACTGTGAACAGCATGTGCAGCATTGATTATTTCTCTGTTACAGTCAAACCTTGTTCATGTCATCCAATTTAGAGTGACTCATATACAAGTTTCTTGAAGATTTTTGAATTTATAGTTCAACCAACCTTTAGGCTGGGTGGAAAGTAAAGATTCAAAGGAAGATGGAATTGGACCTGTTCTTCTGGGCCTGGAGCTGCTGTGGAAAAGGTTGAATCAAGCTGAGGTAGTAGGCAAGGGTACATTTCCCCAACTACAGCTACTCACTTTATTTTGGAAGTCCTTTATTTTGAAATCTATCCCATCCTTAGGATAGATTTAAGGTGCTGTTTTTTTTTGGGTCACCAAAATAATATCCAGAGAAACCACTGGAAAATATAAGGAACAAATGTTTAAAGGTTTTGGATTTTGGAGGTCTACATTACATTTATCTTGAGAGACTTCTGACATGGATATAACAAGAATTCAGAACAAGGAGGCATTTTGTTTAAGCAGGTTCCAGTTAGCAAGGTCCAAGTGTACTTTGTCAGTTATATATTGTACTGTACATATGGAAGTATACAACAAACAGAAGAATCATCTTATTTATTTCCCAGATTAATAATCACTGCTGTTTCAAGAAATCTTTTTTTTCACACAATATAATTATCTTTTTTGTCATCAGACTACAGCATTTTTTTTTTCATGCAAGACAGCCAATATGTCCACAATGTCCACTTTGAAAAACTGACTTTGCAGTGGGGACTGAATGCCTATATGGATCAATCTCATGTGCCCCACAATCATGCCCAGCTGGAGGGGGCGCCAAAATCGATTTTGAGCCTTGCCAATATAAGGCTGCCCCATCTACAGCAGAGGGCCAGCTGAAACTTTGATACCAGCACGCAAAAAAAAAAAAAAGCAGGGATCATGAGGGAACAGAAATCCCTCGTTTTCACTAGATAATTTCATACTCCTGTTTCTCATAAAATATTGGATATAAAACAGTAAAAATTAAAAATAAATATTTCACCTGTATAAGGGCTGAAATTTACTGTGCACTTATTTTCATAAATTTCCAAGCAAGGATTTCTTCTTGGGTTCAAATACCCTTTTATGATGGTGATGATGATGATGATGATGATGATGCGTTCTGAAATGAAACGCATCTGGAAAAGTGTACAACATATACAAACAAAGGATTCACCTGGTCGAATGTTCCAAATATTTTAGATGGCATTAAACGCAGTGATGAGTGAGGTATGCAAAGGGTTTAAATTGCTCTGAAAGGCATTTCATGTTCAAGTAAGGTTTTGGCATGATTTTTTTTCTTGTTGCACTGTATGAGAGAATATTGCGAAAAGGAGGTAAGATTTATCGTGGGATGGCAGAATTCAGCTTTCCAGCTGTATAGTTTTAAAGGCTAACATGTGAAATAAATGTGCCAGATTTTTCCTGCTTCTGTTAACTATGCAAGATATGCAGAAAATAAATGTAGGTGTTCAGAAATCGATGCCTGCCTTTGACTGATGATTTCGATCTTTTACATCTGTACTAGATGTAATCTTGATAATGGCAGATTTGATACTGTACCTTGCTTGGGAAGATTGGGCAGAATGAAATTGGCAAGGTCAACTTCTGTGTCTTCTGGGAGGTAAAAAGTTCCTATTCATCTTTCCAAATGTGTACTGAATTGGTGCTTGCACAAAGATACCAGAGTCCTCATCATTGCAAGCCCTGCTCAAAGTCTGTGGTTTTCAATTTCATGCCTTTTGATTGGCTTGTTGTGGTCTGTAAAATTGGGCAAAATACATGCTAGAGCATTCCAATTGCTAAGAGTACACCTGAACACTAACTTGAGCGAAAAGTTGCTCCTTGGATTTGAAAACAAAATACACAGATTTTTGTTTGCATGGTATGAAACATGCTTCAGGGGTTTAAAAAAATTCATTTCACAGTTGTTGGTTGACCTGGCAGTTTGTCTTTCCTGTAACACCATTACAGATATCAGGCAAACTGGATTCTTTGGTAAATTCTTCAAGTGGCTATTCTTCTGAAAATCTGAATGGGCTTGCAGAATTAAAACTCATGGAAGAATGACTGGCTGCTGAGGAAGACCCAGGAAACATCAGTGCACTTGGTGTTGCCACCTGCCAAGATAAGCAAAGGATTTGGGGAGAAAACTTAAAAACTCCGCAATGCCAAATGTAGCTGGATCCTGCAATCATGCTCTTCAAGCCAAACCTTTTCATAAATCAAGAGTCACCTTGTGTACCATGCTATCTGAGGATGGATGCATGGTAGAATCAAGGCCTGTCTGAATTTGAAGAGCTTGTAAAAAAGTATTGGAAGTTGCAATCATCTGCTGTACTGTACTAATAATGCATATGGTCACCAACCTGAAGTTGGATAAGCTTCTTAGACACCAAACTCCAAATTTATCTCTGAGCTGCTCATTATTCATACATGGATATGTTGCTCTCCATTTATCCCAAAAGTATCATTCAATTTTTAAAAGTGAATCATGAAACTCAGACTGAGCTGAAGAGCTAATGAACAGAATTTGGAATAAGGAACATAACTCAGGAGCTTTTTCAAACGTTTCCTATAGAAGAATGACAAGAATAGTATGACTTATAACTCATCATTAGTCATAAAAAAAATTCGTTTGAATGGGAAACGTTTCTGGGAGAGTGGAGAAAATGTTCTGTGGACCAGCGTTAGTCTGCCTACCAAGGGTTGCACAAAAAAATGTTTAAAGGAATAAAATGAGATGCAAAACTCAAGGATCTTTCAACTGCTAAATTATTTGTTCATCATCCCCACAGGATGAAACTTTCCTTGAGGTGAAGGCATATTTTTCCAGGCCTTGGCCTCTTATTCTTTGTCCTTCTTTCTTTATAAGTTGTGCTTTTGAAATTTGGAATTTTTAAGTACTGTGCGGTAGTACTTTTTCAGATGTTGCAGATTGAGTTACCAATTGTTCCTGTGTTGGCATTTTTTAATTGTTCCCACATTNTTAAGTACTGTGCGGTAGTACTTTTTCAGATGTTGCAGATTGAGTTACCAATTGTTCCTGTGTTGGCATTTTTTTAATTGTTCCCACATTCCATTGTGGTCTGTTGGACCAGTGCTTCCCTATCATTGGTCTGAAAAAATCAGCACTGGTACTCAAAAGTTTTTGCCTGTTTTTCCGAGAAAAAATGTTGGCCGCAAAATAAGTGTATCGAAAGAACCAATGAAGTCTATCATCTTTTTCAGACATTTTGGAAAGACAATGGCAATTGAAAATATTGGATCCAAAAAAGTTGACTTTTCTCCTAATAACGCTTCAGACAAAAAAAAAAAAAAAAAAAAAAAAAAAAAAAAAAAATGGGGATCACAGAGTTATATACTGTACAATGTTCCCATCGCAGTCGGTTCTTTGACACCCGTGCGGAACCTCTGGCCCAAGCCCATGAAGCCAGGGATGTTTTCAACACGGGTCGCTGGGACAGGAATCAAGAAAGGCCGGATTTGAGGAAGCTCAGTAGTGTGCCATGTGCATTTTGGCACTGGTGGGCATGCATGGGTGTGTGCGGCTGGCTATACGGATGAGAAAAAGAAAGAAAGAAGAAAAAAGAAAACAACCAGCAAATGCTCTGTACATTCTGTTCCCCCTTACATTGCAGCCGTGCACAAACGCATATTGAAGCAGTGCAGCAGCTAGCATGAAAAAGTTTATTCAATACGACCTGCATGGTACAGTATATATCCTCAGCGGGCAGCAGTGAAATGAAGCTCGTCATCGGGAACTCTGGGATCCTCCTCGGAGGGAAACGCGATGACTGGATGAGATGCCCCGAGCTGTGGTCGAGGAGAGGAGGCAGTCTGACAAGGCGGACAGGAATGAAAGCTGCTGCTGCTGCTGCTGGGGGGG